TGAGTAGGTGAGGTAAGTGAGTAAGTGAGTGGGTGAGTGAGTGTGTGTGTGAGTGGGTGAGTGTCGTAGTGGTGAGCGGAGACCATCACCACGTCAGAGCGATTATCTGAACCAACGGTTCCGGTCTTCCCGTAGGTCGACTCAGACTGAAATGAGTACCTGGTATAGCCGTGGTTTGTAGTGAACTTCGCCATCACCGGGAGAGAGACAAAGGCGGCCGGGCGTGATGGCGACCGACCACCTCCTCTGTGTGTGTAGCCACAATGCCGGTCGCCTTCATTGGCGATGCTGCTACTCGCTAACAGCACTTGCCTCACACCAGTCACGTGTGAGGCTACCTGGGGAGGCAGGGCAGCTTTGTCTTTGTCTGTGTGATGAGTGGGCGATCGGTTGAGTCACCGGGTCCATCATTAACCCGCCGGTAATGGCCGTGGACGCAGCGATGCGAATAATCTCCCTAAACCACTGCTGAGATCACTCACTCACTCACCTACTCACTCACCACTCACTCACCTACTCACTCACCTACTCACTCACTCACCTACTCACTCACCACTCACTCACTCAATCACACACCTACTCACTCACTCACTCACCTACTCACTCACCTACTCACTCACTCAATCACTCACCTACTCACTCACTCAATCACACACTCACTCACTCAATCACTCACCTACTCACTCACCTACTCACTCACTCAATCACTCACCTACTCACTCACTCAATCACACACTCACTCACTCAATCACTCACCTACTCACTCACTCACTCACCTACTCACTCACTCAATCACACACTCACTCACTCACCTACTCACTCACCTACTCACTCACTCACCCACTCACTCACTCACTCACCTACTCACTCACTCACCTACTCACCCACTCACTCACCCACTCACTCACTCACTCACCCACCTACTAACTCACTCACCTACTCACTCACTCACTCACCCACTCAACTACTCACTCACTCACCTACTCACTCACTCACTCACCTACTCACCTACTCACTCACTCACCCACCCACTCACTCACCCACTCACCCAATGACTCACCCACTCACACACACACTCACCCAATCACTCACTCACGCACCTACTCACTTACTCACTCACCTACTCACTCTCACTCTCAGCCACTCACTCACTCAGCCACTCACTCACTCATTCACCTACTCACTCACCATCTCGCTCACTCAATCACCTACACACTCACTCACACACTCACTCACCCACTCACTCACTCACCTACTCACTCACTCACCTACTCACTCACTCACCTACTCACTCAACTACTCACTCACGCTCTCACCCACTCACTCACTTACCCACTCACTCACCCACCCACCCACTCACTCACCTACTCACTCACTCACTCACCTACTCACTCACTCACCCACCCACCCACTCACTCACCCACTCACTCACTCACCCACTCACCCACCTACTCACCTACTCACTCACTCACTCACCTACTCACTCACTCAATCACACACTCACTCACTCACCTACTCACTCACCTACTCACTCACTCACTCACCCACTCACTCACTCACTCACCTACTCACTCACTCACCTACTCACCCACTCACTCACCCACTCACTCACTCACCCACCTACTAACTCACTCACCTACTCACTCACTCACTCACCCACTCAACTACTCACTCACTCACCTACTCACTCACTCACTCACCTACTCACCTACTCACTCACTCACTCACCCACCCACTCACTCACCCACTCACCCAATGACTCACCCACTCACACACACACTCACCCAATCACTCACTCACTCACCTACTCACTTACTCACTCACCTACTCACTCTCACTCTCAGCCACTCACTCACTCACTCAGCCACTCACTCACTCATTCACCTACTCACTCACCATCTCGCTCACTCAATCACCTACTCACTCACTCACACACTCACTCACCCACTCACTCACTCACTCACCTACTCACTCACTCACCTACTCACTCACTCACCTACTCACTCAACTACTCACTCACTCTCTCACCCACTCACTCACTTACCCACTCACTCACCCACCCACCCACTCACTCACCTACTCACTCACTCACTCACCTACTCACTCACTCACCCACCCACCCACTCACTCACCCACTCACTCACTCACCCACTCACCCACCTACTCAGTCACTCACCCACTTACTCACCTACTCACTCACTCACTCACCCACCCATTCACTCACCCACCCACTCATTCACTCACCCACTCACCCACTCACCCACTCATTCACCCACTCACTCACTCACCTACTCACTCACTCACTCACCCACTCACTCACCTACTCACTCACTCACCTACTCACTCACCTACTCACTCACCCACTCACTCACCCACCCACCCACTCACCAACTCACTCACTCACTCACCCACCCACTCACCTACTCACTCACTCACTCACCCACCCACTCACTCACTCACCTACTCCCTCACTCACTCACTTACCCACTCACTCACTCACCTACCCACTCACCCACCCACCCACTCACCCACTCACTCACCCACCCTCTCATCCACCCACTCACTCAACCACCAACTCACTCACTCACCCACCCACTCACTCACCTCACCCACCCAACCACTCACCCACTCACTCTCACACCTACCCACACACTCACCCACCCACCCAATCACTCACCCACTCACTCACCCACCCACCCACTCACCCACTCACCCACCCACCCACTCACTCACCCACCCACCCACTCACTCACCCACCCGCCCACCCATTCCCCCACACACCCACTCACTCTCACACTCACCCACCAACACACCCACCTACCCACCCACCCACCCACTCACTCACCCACCCACCCACTCACCCAACCACCCACTAAATCACCCACTCACCCACTCACCCATCCACCCACTCACTCACCCACCAACTCACACTCACCCACCTACACACCCACCTACACACTCACCTACCCACCCACCTACCCACCCACTCACCCATCCACACACCCACCTACTCACCCACCCACTCACCTACGCGCCCACCCACCCACCTACTCACTCACCCACCCACCCAATCACCCACCCACCTACTCACCCACTCACTCACCCACTAACCCACTCACCCACCCACCTACTCACCCACCCACCCACTCACCCACTCACCCACTCACCTACTCACCCACCCACTCACCTACTCACCCACCCACCCACTCACTCACTCACCCACTCACTCTCACACCTACCCACCCACCCATCCACTCACCCTCCCACTCACCCACCCACCTACTCACCCAAAGCAGCCATTGCAGCTGCCAGTCCTGAACCTCGCCCATTTCCTCTCAACATCAGCAGGCGATGATGAAATTCTCGTTTGCGACTTTCGTCAGCCAGCTGAGACCAGTCCACTCAGGCACGGGTGGTGAACTTATTTTTTTTTCTTCCTGCCAAGGGCCATTTGAATATTCATACAAAATTACCAACTTAAAAATCAGCCCGTCGTATCTGGTGAAAAATTTCATGAACTCGCTACGTGTTTGAATGGGGTCCTCCAAGCGAAGGCTGCGGTAAGCCTCCTCATTCTCCGACGTGGGATGCTGTAGATGATGAGAGTGGGCCCTGTCGCTTAACTCAGCCAGCCTGAACACCTCCTCTGTCAGCCAGGGTCTCTGGGGAGGTCTTGACCGCGTACCCAAAGCAGCCATTGCAGCTGCATGAGTCACAGTCCTAAACCTCGCCCATTTACCCTCGACATCAGGAGGATTGGGGGACGATGCCAACCCCAGCCGCAAGCGATGATGAAATTCTCGCTTGCAACGTTCATCGGATAACTGAGACCAGGCCACTTTAGGTTGGAATGGGGTCCTGGGTGTACACCTACCACCGGAGTGGAAGAATGGCAGGCGCATCTTACAGATGACTAGTCGATGGTCAGAGGGCAGATCAGCTCCACGATAGGTCCTGGTGTCAAGGACATGAGCTCGCATCCGCTGGTCCGTCACTATGTAGCCCAGCAGATGTTCTTGCTTGGACCCGGCCTGCATCCATGATGTTGTGTGGATGCGCCGATGCCGGAACAGCGTGTTGGTAATTACAAGCCCATGAGCTGCACAAAAATCTAGCAGCCTCCTACCGGTGTTATTGAGCTGATCTGGCCCATGCCCTCCAATCACTCCAGACCAGGTGCCAGTATCATGACCAACTCGGGCATTGAAGTCACCCAACAAGATGACTCTATCCCGAGGGGCCACTTTAGCCAGCAACTGTGACAGGAGGTCATAGAAGGCATCTGACTCATCGGCTTTGCCTGCATCCCTCCACGGATGTTCATCTTCGGTGGGGGCATAAGTGTACACACACACAGTGTACACACAGTGTACACATACACACAGTGTACACACACACACAGTGTACACACACACACAGTGTACACACACACACAGTAATATCCACTTTGTTGTTGCTGAGCTCACACACCCAAGGGGGCTCTGTTCAAGGGAGGGAGCAATGGAAAATGAATCTAAATCAACTTAAACTCCAACCCCGCTCTGTGACGTCACCACTCAGCATTACCTCATCGGCGTGAAACGCCAGGGGAAGGTGTACCTCGCTAGTGACGTCATGTCACCAAGGTATTCACCCCACCACGTCCAAGGCGCCCTTGAACGTGACGTCACCTCTGCCTGGGTCGCTGCCGTTTTCTGTAGAATCCATATTTGGGCAAGGCCACGCCCAGTGACTGGCGGCTCATTAACATAATAGTTCCGTGAAAGCCGTCGCGACGGGTTCAGCACCCACGCCCCAACCCTCTACATATGGGCAGGGCTCATTAACATAATTTATTCAAGTACTGAGACGCTCATTGTGGGAGGGGAGTGTTATCGTTCCCCACAAGTGACGTCATGTCACCTCCTGCTGCCGCGTGACGTCACGAGATAACAGGAAGCTGCTGCTCCGCCCGTGCACTGAAATCCGAGGTGAGAAATTCTCATCGCGGTTGTGGTGGTGGTGGTTGTTGTGGTGGTTGTTGTGGTTGTTGTTGTGGTGGTTGTTGTGGTGGTCGTTGTGGTTGTTGTTGTGGTGGTTGTTGTGGTGGTCGTTGTTGTTGTGGTGGTCGTGGTTGTTGTGGTGGTCGTTGTTGTTGTGGTGGTTGTTGTTGTTGTGGTGGTGGTTGTTGTTGTGGTGATTGTTGTTGTGGTGATTGTTGTGGTGGTTGTTGTGGTGGTTGTTGTGGTGGTTGTGGTTGTGGTGGTGGTTGTTGTTGTGGTGATTGTTGTTGTGGTTATTGTTGTTGTGGTGGTTGTTGTTGTGGTGGTTGTGGTGGTGGTGGTTGTTGTGGTGGTTGTTGTTGTGGTGGTTGTTGTTGTGGTGGTTGTAGTGGTGGTTGTTGTTGTGGTGGTGGTGGTTGTTGTTATGGTGGTGGTTATTGTGGTGGTGGTTGTTGTTGTGGTGATTGTTGTTGTGGTGGTGGTTGTTGTTGTGGTGGTGGTTGTTGTTGTTGTGGTGGTTGTGGTGGTTGTTGTTGTTGTGGTTGTTGTGGTTGTTGTTGTGGTGGTTGTGGTGGTGGTTGTTGTTGTGGTGGTGGTTGTTGTTGTTGTGGTGGTGGTGATTGTTGTGGTTGTTGTTGTTGTGGTGGTGGTTGTGGTTGTTGTTGTGGTGGTCGTGGTGGTGGTTGTTGTTGTGGTGGTGGTTGTGGTGGTTGTTGTTGTGGTGGTGGTGGTTGTTGTGGTGGTTGTTGTTGTGGTGGTGGTTGTGGTGGTTGTTGTTGTGGTGGTGGTGGTGGTTGTGGTTGTTGTTGTGGTGGTTGTGGTGGTGGTTGTTGTTGTTGTGGTGGTGGTTGTTGTGGTGGTTGGTGTTGTTGTTGTTGTGGTGGTGGTTGTGGTGGTAGTTGTAGTGGTGGTTATTGTGGTGGTTGTTGTGGTGGTTGTTGTGGTGGTTTTTGTTGTGGTGGTGGTGGTTGTTGTAGTGGTGGTTGTTGTTGTTGTGGTGGTTGTGGTTGTTGTTGTGGTGGTTGTTGTGGTGGTTGTTGTTGTGGTGGTGGTTGTTGTTGTGGTGGTGGTGGTTGTTGTTGTGGTGGTTGTTGTGGTGGTGGTTGTTGTTGTTGTAGTGGTGGTTGTTGTTGTGGTGGTTGTTGTTGTTGTGGTGGTTGTTGTGGTTGTGGTTGTTGTAGTGGTGGTTGTTGTGGTGGTTGTGGTGGTTGTTGTTGTGGTTGTGGTGGTTGTAGTGGTGGTTGTAGTGGTGGTTGTAGTGGTGGTTGTGGTGGTGGTGGTTGTAGTGGTGGTTGTGGTGGTTGTTGTGGTTGATGTGGTGCTTGTTGTTGTTGTGGTGGTTGTTGTGGTTGTGGTGGTTGTAGTGGTGGTTGTTGTGGTGGTTGTGGTGGTGGTTGTTGTTGTGGTAGTTGTGGTGGTTGTAGTGGTGGTTGTGGTGGTGGTTGTTGTTGTGGTTGTTGTGGTGGTGGTTGTTGTTGTGGTGGTTGTTGTGGTGGTTGTTGTTGTTGTGGTGGTTGTTGTGGTTGTGGTTGTTGTTGTGGTGGTGGTAGTTGTTGTGGTGGTTGTGGTGGTTGTGCTGGTGGTGGTGGTTGTAGTGGTGGTTGTTGTGGTGGTGGTTGTTGTGGTGGTGGTTGTGGTGGTTGTAGTGGTGGTTGTAGTGGTGGTTGTAGTGGTGGTTGTAGTGGTGGTGGTGGTTGTAGTGGTGGTGGTTGTTGTTGTTGTGCTGGTTGTGGTGGTGGTGGTGGTGGTTGTTGTGGTGGTTGTTGTTGTTTCCCGAGGTAGAGCCTCGCTCTCTCTCTCGTAGGGATGTCAGTTGAGTAGCAGCGAGCATGGAAGCGATGTCCAGGTTGGAACTTTACAGCGCGGGGCCTAGCCACACGGGGCCTTGCCTCCTGCCCTCGCCTGATCGCGTTTGCTTCAATTCTCTCGCTTAAGTTGAATTTGTCTTCACACTTTGTCACTTTATTTTACTTTTAAATATTCACGCAGTTTTTTTTTTATTTCCAGGCCAAGCCCGCTTGAGCTGCTGTACTGCTTTTGTTTTCAGAAGCGACCTGCCCACAACAACAACAACAACAACGTGAGGCTTGTCAACAGCGTGGTGGTGTTCACTCTAGACGTGTGGCGGTGTTCACTCTGGACGTGTGGTGGTATTCACTCTAGACGTGTGGTGGTGTTCACTCTAGACGTGTGGCGGTGTTCACTCTAGACGTGTGGTGTTCACTCTAGACGTGTGGTGTTAACTCTAGACGCGTGGCGGTGTTCACTCTAGACGTGTGGCGGTGTTCACTCTAGACGTGTGGCGGTGTTCACTCTAGACGTGTGGTGTTCACTCTAGACACGTGGCTGTGTTCACTCTAGACGTGTGGCGGTGTTCACTCTAGACGTGTGGCGGTGTTCACTCTAGACGTGTGGTGGTGTTCACTCTAGACGTGTGGCGGTGTTCACTCTAGACGCGTGGCGGTGTTCACTCTAGACGTGTGGCGGTGTTCACTCTAGACGCGTGGTGGTGTTCACTCTAGACGTGTGGCGGTGTTCACTCTAGACGTGTGGTGGTGTTCACTCTAGACGCGTGGTGGTGTTCACTCTAGACGTGTGGCGGTGTTCACTCTAGATGTGTGGCGGTGTTCACTCTAGATGTGTGGTGTTCACTCTAGACGCGTGGCGGTGTTCACTCTAGACGTGTGGCGGTGTTCACTCTAGATGTGTGGCGGTGTTCACTCTAGATGTGTGGTGTTCACTCTAGACGTGTGGCGGTGTTCACTCTAGACGTGTGGCGGTGTTCACTCTAGACGTGTGGTGGTGTTCACTCTAGACGTGTGGCGGTGTTCACTCTAGACGTGTGGCGGTGTTCACTCTAGACGTGTGGCGGTGTTCACTCTAGACGTGTGGTGGTGTTCACTCTAGACGTGTGGCGGTGTTCACTCTAGACGTGTGGCGGTGTTCACTCTAGACGTGTGGTGGTGTTCACTCTAGACGTGTGGAGGTGTTCACTCTAGATGCATGGCGGTGTTCACTCTAGACGCGTGGCGGTGTTCACTCTAGACGTGTGGTGGTGTTCACTCTAGACGCGTGGTGGTGTTCACTCTAGACGTGTGGTGGTGTTCACTCTAGACGTGTGGCGGTGTTCACTCTAGACGTGTGGTGGTGTTCACTCTAGATGTGTGGTGGTGTTCACTCTAGACGCGTGGTGGTGTTCACTCTAGACGTGTGGCGGTGTTCACTCTAGACGTGTGGCTGTGTTCACTCTAGACGTGTGGCGGTGTTCACTCTAGACGTGTGGCGGTGTTCACTCTAGACGTGTGGTGGTGTTCACTCTAGACGTGTGGCTGTGTTCACTCTAGACGTGTGGCTGTGTTCACTCTAGATGTGTGGTGGTGTTCACTCTAGACGTGTGGTGGTGTTCACTCTAGACGTGTGGCTGTGTTCACTCTAGACGTGTGGCTGTGTTCACTCTAGATGTGTGGTGGTGTTCACTCTAGACGTGTGGCTGTGTTCACTCTAGACGTGTGGCTGTGTTCACTCTAGATGTGTGGTGGTGTTCACTCTAGACGTGTGGTGGTGTTCACTCTAGACGTGTGGTGGTGTTCACTCTAGACGTGTGGCGGTGTTCACTCTAGACGTGTGGCGGTGTTCACTCTAGACGCGTGGCGGTGTTCACTCTAGACGTGTGGCGGTGTTCACTCTAGACGTGTGGCGGTGTTCACTCTAGACGTGTGGTGGTGTTCACTCTAGACGCGTGGTGGTGTTCACTCTAGATGTGTGGTGGTGTTCACTCTAGACGTGTGGTGGTGTTCACTCTAGACGTGTGGTGGTGTTCACTCTAGACGTGTGGTGGTGTTCACTCTAGACGCGTGGCGGTGTTCACTCTAGACGTGTGGCTGTGTTCACTCTAGACGTGTGGCGGTGTTCACTCTAGACGTGTGGCGGTGTTCACTCTAGACGCGTGGCGGTGTTCAATCTAGACGCGTGGCGGTGTTCACTCTAGACGTGTGGTGGTGTTCACTCTAGACGCGTGGTGGTGTTCACTCTAGACGTGTGGTGTTCACTCTAGACGTGTGGCGGTGTTCACTCTAGACGCGTGGCGGTGTTCAATCTAGACGCGTGGCGGTGTTCACTCTAGACGTGTGGTGGTGTTCACTCTAGACGTGTGGTGGTGTTCACTCTAGATGCATGGCGGTGTTCACTCTAGACGCGTGGCGGTGTTCACTCTAGACGTGTGGTGGTGTTCACTCTAGACGCGTGGTGGTGTTCACTCTAGACGTGTGGCGGTGTTCACTCTAGACGTGTGGCGGTGTTCACTCTAGATGTGTGGTGGTGTTCACTCTAGATGTGTGGTGGTGTTCACTCTAGACGTGTGGCGGTGTTCACTCTAGACGTGTGGTGGTGTTCACTCTAGACGCGTGGTGGTGTTCACTCTAGACGTGTGGCGGTGTTCACTCTAGATGTGTGGCGGTGTTCACTCTAGATGTGTGGTGTTCACTCTAGACGCGTGGCGGTGTTCACTCTAGACGTGTGGCGGTGTTCACTCTAGATGTGTGGCGGTGTTCACTCTAGATGTGTGGTGTTCACTCTAGACGTGTGGCGGTGTTCACTCTAGACGTGTGGCGGTGTTCACTCTAGACGTGTGGTGGTGTTCACTCTAGACGTGTGGCGGTGTTCACTCTAGACGTGTGGCGGTGTTCACTCTAGACGTGTGGCGGTGTTCACTCTAGACGTGTGGTGGTGTTCACTCTAGACGTGTGGCGGTGTTCACTCTAGACGTGTGGCGGTGTTCACTCTAGACGTGTGGTGGTGTTCACTCTAGACGTGTGGTGGTGTTCACTCTAGATGCATGGCGGTGTTCACTCTAGACGCGTGGCGGTGTTCACTCTAGACGTGTGGTGGTGTTCACTCTAGACGCGTGGTGGTGTTCACTCTAGACGTGTGGCGGTGTTCACTCTAGACGTGTGGCGGCGTTCACTCTAGACGTGTGGTGGTGTTCACTCTAGATGTGTGGTGGTGTTCACTCTAGATGCGTGGTGGTGTTCACTCTAGATGCGTGGTGGTGTTCACTCTAGACGCGTGGCAGTGTTCACTCTAGACGCGTGGCGGTGTTCACTCTAGACGCGTGGCGGTGTTCACTCTAGACGTGTGGTGGTGTTCACTCTAGACGTGTGGCTGTGTTCACTCTAGACGTGTGGCTGTGTTCACTCTAGATGTGTGGTGGTGTTCACTCTAGACGTGTGGTGGTGTTCACTCTAGACGTGTGGCTGTGTTCACTCTAGACGTGTGGCTGTGTTCACTCTAGATGTGTGGTGGTGTTCACTCTAGACGTGTGGCTGTGTTCACTCTAGACGTGTGGCTGTGTTCACTCTAGATGTGTGGTGGTGTTCACTCTAGACGTGTGGTGGTGTTCACTCTAGACGTGTGGTGGTGTTCACTCTAGACGTGTGGCGGTGTTCACTCTAGACGTGTGGCGGTGTTCACTCTAGACGCGTGGCGGTGTTCACTCTAGACGTGTGGCGGTGTTCACTCTAGACGTGTGGTGGTGTTCACTCTAGACGTGTGGTGGTGTTCACTCTAGACGC